TCAGTACATCAGTTCTTAACATATCCATACATCAGTACAACTGCAGAAAAGATTAATCCCAAAATTGTTGAATGTCATTGCAGAAACAAGCAAGGTGGCGCACGCAGGGAGGGTTTGATGAGCCAGGCAGATACAAGGCACCGCCTGGTTGGGTAACACCAGAGATACCACCTGGATACTTCAACAATACAGGCAAATTTCAAGCTACACCAGAATCATCAGAAGCACAATCTAGTTCTTCTCTGCAGCAAACATCAATTGCTGGGTATTCAAGCTTTGTCAGTGCTGAAGTGCAACAACGTCTGCAATGTCCCCAGAAACAAATATTTTCCTTCCCTAGCACATGCAGAAAGGCAAGGACACCAAGGCTTCCACCAGTTGCTCCATCAACAGCAATCATCCGTGCTGCAAAAGCAGTTGCGACGGGAAGACTAGGTGAAAGAGACAAGAATGTTCACCACTCTAGCAGGGTGCAGAGTACAAGATATGAGCCATATAGACAGGAGCAACCTCACAACAAATCTGAGGCCAGACGGCCATACAATGAGAGATGGAGAGCTTCATCAACATTGCTCCCTCCAAGAGATGCATTGTTGCATGTGCCTAGGGTGACACCTCCCGCGCCCATACACGAGGGTGAACAGCAAACACCAGATGCAGCGCAAAGCTATACACAAGTAAGTATGCATTAAAAAACATACAAGCATAGTCCATCCCCTAGTACTATGATAACACCATCTAACATTTTCATCATTGTGTTTCTGTTTGCTCACTGTTGCGTGCAGCCACCTAACATCGAAGCTTACGTTCTGCCAAGGCTAGAAATGTGCTTTGAAACTTTCGAAGAAGCAAATAACTTCTACAACGTCTATTCAAAGCACGCAGGTTTTGCTATCAGGGAAGGCCCCAAGGTTTAGAACAGAGTCTACCTTTATTGCACATGCTATGGAGTCTATGAATCAAAGGTTTCAGAAGCAAATAGACAGCGGAACAAGACCACAGCCAGGACTAACTACGGGCCTAAAATTAGGATGAAGAAGGAAAAGGATGGAACACTAGTCGTAAAAGAGATAATCTGGGAACACAACCACAGGCTGCAGCTCACCACAGAAATGCTTGTCTTTTTGCACTCCCACAAAAACTTTGACAAGACAATATTGGAGTACGTCAAGTACCTGCAGTTCAAAGGCATTGAACACGTGCAAATCATGAGCATACTGGGCGGCGATAACCCAGGTAGCTACTTCCTCGAAATGAATGCCAAAGGCCTAATTACCATGTAAGTATAGAATTGTTCTCCTCCCAAAAAAACCCTCTATCCTTTTTCAACTGCCAGTACAAATATATTACGCAACGCATTACCTGATGCCAGTTCAACATGCATTTTTGCAAATGACTATTCACTTTTAATATGTAGCAAAGCAAAGAATTCAAGTATGGATGACGTGGGCGATGTCCTGAAGACTGTCAACTTCTTTAGGGAGATGAAAGCAATAAGCAGGGAATTCTTCTGCGACATACAACTTGATGAGTCCGATAGAGTGAAGAGCATATTCTGGGCGAACGCGAGCTGCCGAGGGGCATACCAAGACTTTGGCGACTGTGTGGCGTTTAACACCACGTATAAGACCAACAAATACCATATGACAGTTGGAGTGTTTGTGGGTACCAACAACCACTTTCAGACTACAATCTTTGCTTTCGCCCTGATAAGAGATGAGGATGCAGATTCATTGAAATGGCTTTTCAAAACATTGTTAAAATGCATGAGAGGGAAGGCTCCTACATGCATCCTCACAGGTACAACCGCAAAAAAAACCTAACCTAAACCACACCTAAAAAAAGGAAAATAACACAGTAAAAATGTTGTGTCGGTTCTATTTGTATATATGCACAACCATTCGCTGACCACTCTGAGTCTATTTTCTCATTACCAGACCAGTGCCCGTCAATTGCTTTGGTGATCCCAGATGTTTTCAAGAACACAGTACATAAGCTATGCTACTGGCACATTATGAAGAAGTACAGGGAACACCTCGCGTGCCTGTACAACCTCCACAAAACCTTTAAGGATGAATTCACAGCAATCCTCAACTGGCCCCTCATGCCAACTGAGTTTGAGACTGCCTGGAAAGATCTCATGGATAGGTACAACCTCCATGATGATGCCACGATGGTGGCAATGTGGAACGAGCGCGAGAAATGGATATCATCTTACTTCAAAGAATTTTTTTGTGCCAGAATGACATCGACACAACGGAGTGAGAGCATGAACTATGTGCTGAAGAAGAACTACATATGTGAGAGACAAAACCTTGACCGGTTTGTCAGCCAGGTGAACACCTGCGTAAAAAACAGGAGGCAGGTAGAAAACAAGGAGACAATGGGTAACCGGGTATAGCTCTATCACCTGTCATAAGACAAAATAATGTGCTTACTAAAGTAATTCTTTCTTAGTTAGACAAGTTTTTGTTGCAAGAAAACTAATAATTTGGTCAACACTATTGCTTGCGCAGAATAAAACAAACACGTTGACCCTCTATGGGTTCGACACTCAGATGGCAAAAGTTTACTCACGAGCTGTGTACAGCGAGATCAGAAAAAGGCTAAAGCTGAGCACCCTCTTCACGGTGACGAACACGGAAGAGCCCACAAAGGACCTTGTATGCTACAACAAAACGCAAACATCGTCTGCGTGGTCTCAGCATGCGTTCCAGGTGGTTGCAGACTCCGTAGGAGAAATATACGACTGCGAGTGCAAGCTCTGGGACCACACAGGGGAGTACTAAAAAACATGTTATACATTGTACTACTTATTTTTGCAAAAGTTTTTGTTCGAATGGAATGACAGAAAACATGCACCTCTTCCAAAAAAACAGGTATTTTCTGCGTGCATGTCCTGTGCATGATGCAAACAATTAAGGCTAAGACCGTTCTAGAGAAATACATCCTCAGGAGATACACCAAACGCCCAAACTCTAGCCAACCTTCAACGGAAATGACCTGAGGGCAGCAGTGTCAAACAAGGCCTCCCAATACTGCATTGAAAGCGCTCTATTGCAATAGGTTTTGAGAGTGCATAGGAAAAGCTTGAGAAGCCAAGACCAAATGGCGAGGTCACGGGTAGTCATGGAAGTACTTGAAGAAGAACTCGACACCATGCATTCTTCTGAAAACGGAGGTGTCGTGGACAACGAAGCAGAAAAACTTGAGCAGGATATCGCTACAACCTTATCCGAGATGAACCATGTTGGAGATGTTGACCCATACGACAACGAGGAGGAGGAGCAACAGCCATCAGAGCTTCCCCATGAGCACACTCAAGAGCAGCAACATGCTCATGTGCAAGATCATGAACTTGACAGTGCTGTAGGCGAACGGCATGACAACGGGAGATCCTACCACCACCACCAGCAGCAGCAAAGGGTAAGTAAACCACCCATATACTCATGCACAAAGGGGAGGAAGAGTAAGACGTAGGCAGCGAAAGTAGCAAAACCAGCATCCAAAAAGCCACCACGCCCCATCAAACGCGTGGAATACGGCCCGGACGAGAAACCTCTCGGGATAAGGGCATGCAGATTCTGCAACTGCGTGACCAATCATAATTACTGCACATGCCCACACCGCACGGGTGCCATTGCCAACAAGCAAAAGCTGTAGAAGCAGATTGGAGCTGCCCACGTCTCTAGCAATGGAGATGACACACGTAGCAGCTACACTTGCAGAAAGTGTGGGGGGACTGATGGACATAATGCCCGCACATGCAAAGTGGGCAAGGAGGCTGATAGCACTGAATAGAAACAGGGCAAGGTCCAGAGTTCCAAAAAATCAAATGAAGAGGATGAAGAAGAAGAGGTTGACGATAATGATGACCAATCAGAAGAAGACAATGAAGATGACAGTATTGGGTGCGTGGAAACTGAAACTGACAATGAAGCTGCCAAGGCTCAACCAGGAAAGGGCGCCGGCTAGGTAAAACATTCTGGGCTAGTTAGGAGGAGCTCAAGACTGAAGAATCCATAGTGGTTATGCTGCTGCAGTACACAATGAGGAAACATTTCAGAAACATTGTCGTTACCAAAACTTATTTAGCTTTGTCGTCGATTTCTCAATCAGTATTATAGTTATGTAAACGATTTGATAATCCTATTGAATGCAGTCACAAATATATTTAAAAAAACTTATCTGGATTTATGTAACACCAACATTACTGTTGACCAGTAACTCCGCAAAACTATCCTCAGAAAACATGGTTTCAAAACACAAGCTATGTCTGGTTCTGCCAGTCCTTGTTCAGAAAGTCCATCAGTAAAGAAAAATATTTACCTCAAGCAAACGCAAATATAATACACATGTACTGATTAAAAACTAATTTATCTGTAAAAATACTTTCAAATATTATGTTCATATAAACAATCCTTTCAAAAAAACAAAAAAATGTTTTAAAAAAGATTAACATGACACACACAGTCCGATTGGTATTTGGTAAGTTCAACTACACTTCAATCATGAGTCCAAGTAACGCAGTAGAGAAGTACAAAACTCCATCATCACCAACCCTGACATCTGCAAGTGGGATAAACAACTAATAAGTACAGCTTGACAAGACGGATCAGTGCGACAGTAAAATGCCATCGTCACCGACCCTGAGACGATCGTAGTGGGATAAAGGAACTGATAAGTATAGATTGACAAGACTACTCAGTTCGATTAGATTAATACCATGGCAGAGAAATTGGCTTGGACGGTTGGTTCTTCCAGGCCACCGCCCGCGCCACACACTAGGCGGTTGCCACAAGGGACTGCAAATGGCGACACCCACGACCACTACACCCACGTCCCCGATGAACCGCCTCCCACACATCCCCATCCATGCACTGGAAATAAACCATTGTCTTCCATCTCTGCCTCATTCCACCACCATCGCCTCTTCCGTCTCCACCACAGACAACACAGAAACTTCTCTCTTCCAAGCCCACAGTCGCCGGAAGAGGGCAATGGTGGACGAACCAACCGCCAAGTGTCATCATGGTGAGACGTCTGACAAGAGCTACAACCTTGACGATGTTCACGTCCCCGGTGAGAAGCGCGCGTACACCAAAACGCTCAAAGGGATTGAGCTCCATGGCAACGAGACGCTGGAGATCGTCTGCACCAACGAACCACACAAGGCCGATGAGATGATCACCAGGTTCTGGAGGAAAGCTGGCGGCTGTATTCGTAAGATCGTCGGTCTTGGTGTGCACTACACCAGGGAAGACGAACCTCCCCAGATAGCAGCAGTCCTGCAGTTGTGCGTGGATGAACTCTGCCTGGTGTACCACATCGCAGCGGCCACGAAATGGTGACCCATCCTACTCATTTGCCATGTTTGCTTCATCTGTTTAATTAGTACTCATTTAAATTCAAACTTGTTTCCCAACTAGATGTACTAGTGTGGTTTGTGAAAGTGGATGCACTACTACATTTTCTCAAGTAGATACACCATAAATGTAGTTTTGAACTAGTGCAGTATCTGATCTTGATCCGATAGTGTAGTTTCTGTACTCAATGTATTAAAAAGATGTTTCTGAACTTGATGTAGTGAAGTAGTATCTGAATTTGGTCTAATGTTATTTTCATAAGCAAAAAAACTAAGAACTTGCTGAAGCAATGGTATGTGTTGTCCTATTAAACAAAAGTAAATAAACTAGTACTAAAGCAGCACATACAACATTGGCTCAAACTATGTATAATCCAAAAAGAAAAATAACATGACGTACTTGAATTAGATTTCAGAACTTTGTTTACTAATTTCTGAAGTACATTCATCCATTAATTATGCTATATAAGCATCCACTTCATGGATCCATCGCTTGTAGAATATAAACAAAGATGAAGAATTCAAACATCAAAGTAATGCTAATCTTCAAAATGTCTCTCCCCTTGCAGGCCCAAGCGCCTCAACGAGATGCTGAAGCATGAGAAGTTGTTCACATTTGCCAGTTTCAGCATTGAAAGTGACAAAGAGAAGATGAAGATGTCTGGCCTTCCAACGATCAACCCCAACAAGTATGTCGTCATTCGGCACTTCTGGAGAGTTCCATACACCAGAAAAGATTATGACTCCTTGACTGATGTTGCAGCCAGCGTCATCCACCCGTTCTACAAAGACATGAAGAAGAACATCGACACGTAGGAAGACCACAAATTGTGGGTGATCAGCCCGCTGCCAGACAAGCTCATCGAGTACGCAGCAACAGATGCGTACGCCACGTTCAAGTCATGGCAAATAATCGACAACATCACAGATGGTAGGGAAATTGCAAAAGCACGGGAGGGTGACCACTACTACGACCACCCCTTCTGCCCCTTTTAGGGATGAAGATACATCAAAGACTGTCTTCGCTTATGCTTGCTTTTTATCTTGTTGTTTCAAATTTGTAGTTTGCTCTTGTTAGGTTGAACCAGTATGACTATGTCGTGCTTGTCATTGTCGAACAAGTTTACTTATGTCATGAAGTACATTGTCTTACTTATCTCATTATATAAGTTTGGTAGCTTCGTATTTTGTTAATCCATCATTTCAAAATTCAAAGTAGCTTCTCAAATGGAACTTTGTGGCTGCTCTAAAGTACTAGTTATGAAGCAACTAATCACAGAATGTTGTTCAATGTATAGTATTGTATAGAAAACATAACATTGAAAACAATCAGTACAAATTGAGTTGACTAACAACACTTCAAAAAGTTAACGCAGAAATTCTAAGTACTTAATGTACTATTCTCATACATATGTAGTTACTAGAAAATTAACAAGTACTACAAACAGAAAAAGTTAAGAAGCATCAGCACACACTTATGATGGTCACTTGCGGATTGCGGACTTAGGATGACAATACTAGTACACTTGATCAGACAGTACATACTTACTACAATAAAAAGTACAAAGAAGCATCAGTTCGTAATCCCCCCAAAAGAATGTCAGACTAAGAACGTAAGTCCTACTATGAATCGACTATCAGTACAACTTAGTCTACACGCAAGTACCATAGTGCTCAAAATGATACCAGAAGACACTTGAGAATAATCACAAAAACAAACACAAAAACAAGGCAAAAAACTTCAAATGAAAAAATAACACTTCCACAGAACTAGAACAAAAATGGATCAGTCCAAGTTACTGGTGGAGTCAAGTACTAGGTTCAAACCAAATAAAAAGAAAATTTTGACTGCCCAAGGACAGGTAGGCCCTGACACTGCTAGATACTTGAACTCGAGCCCACGGCGGAACCGTCGGCAAATCCCTAGTAATCCGCACAACACAGGGCTAGCCAACCAGGGCGCACAGGTCATGAGAGAGAGCGAGTGCCGTGTATAATCGCTCAGGTAAGTATTCAGAGGAGTTCGACTAGTAGGACTCAGCCGCACTTATAAACAGGTCGAGAGCTTCCTCCCATAGCGAGGTGGGACTAAACCCAGAGCACACGCTCATTCAGCAGTCCCCAAAATGCACGCATGCGCCAGTTGGGCCGGAAAACGGCCCAATAGCCTCCATCGTCTACAAACACCACACCAATAAGGCCAGTTAAACAAAACAGAGTGCGCTGCAAAGAAATATAAACTACAAAAAAATGTTCGAAAACTGAAAATATAAAAGTTCAACTACTAGTTCATAGACAATAATTTTAGCCCTGCACCAGGATGATAAAAAAATGAAACAATATGATACAAAAACAACGAAACTCCAAAAAGCAGAGAACTTAATAGCCTATTTGTTAAATGTACATAATTTAAAACGCCGAATTAAAATATTAGTTTGAAGTTCAACTAGTAAAATGCAAGAAGTTCAAATAGATTTTCTTTGTCATTTCTGCTAAACTCCTTATTTATGTAAAATCTCACAAGTTCAACTACTAAAATGCAAGAAGTTCAAATACATTTTCTTTGTCATTTCTACTCTGCTAAACTCCTTATTTATGTAAAATCTAACAAGTTCAACTACTAAAATGCAAGAAGTTCAAATAGATTTTCTTTGTCATTTCTGCTCTGCTAAACTCCTTATTTATGTAAAATCTGACAAGTTCAACTACTAAAATGCAAGAAGTTCAAATAGATTTTCTTTGTCAATTCTGCTATGATAACTCCTTATTTATGTAAAATCTGACAAGTTCAACTACTAAAATGCAAGAAGTTCAAATACATTTTCTTTGTCAATTCTGCGAAATTTCTTATTTATGTAAAATCTTTCAACACCTCAACAAATGATTTTGTCGTAAATAATCTCAACCCCCCACCCCTTAGTACAAACATACATATGCCATTAGTTCTAAAAAGTAGGAACAGTCAGGCCACTCACACCACTGTGACACCAAATTTCAAAACTGTACGCTGTATGAAATTACAATTCAGTTCACACAACACTAAACCATAAGTGCACTAAAAAGAGAATACAAAAACTATAAAAGGCCGAACTTAGGATCGGACATATGAAAAGTCCCAGTTTTGAGCAACAACTCCCAAGGCAATGAAAAATGTTTTCAGATCAAATAGTGTATAAGACTTCAGTAGAAAAACAAGACATAACCTCCACACGGATAAACATCATAAAAAAGCATACGTTACTTAAAAAGTGCAAAATGCCATCATCACCAACCCTAACACGTGCAAGTGTGATAAGAAGCTGATAAGTACAGCTTGACAAGACGGATTAGTGCGATAGTAGAGACCCTTGACTTGGACGGTTTGTTCTTCCAGGCCACCGCCCGCGTCACCCAATGGGCGGTTGCCACCAGGGAGTGCAAACCACGACACCCACGACCACTACACCCACGTCCCCGATGAACCACCTCCCACACATCCCCGTCCACGCCCTGGAAATAACCCATTGTCTTCCATCTCTACCTCATTCCAAGAACCACCATCGCCGCTTCCATCTCCACTACAGACAAACCACAAACTTCTCTCTCCCAAGCCCACAGTCGTCGGAGGAGGTCGATGGCAGAGGAACCATCCACCAAGCGTCATCATGGCGAGACGTCTGACAAGAGCAGCAACCTCGACGACATTCACGTCCCCGGTGAGAAGCGCGCGTACAACAAAATGCTCAAAGGGGTTGAGCTCCATGGCAAGGAGACACTGGAGATCATCTGCATGATACGTCTCCGTCGTATCTATAATTTTTGATTGTTCCATGCCAATATTATTCAACTTTCATATACTTTTGGCAAATTTTTATACTATTTTTTGGGAATAACATATTGATCCAGTGCACAGTGCCAGTTCCTGTCTGTTGCATGTTTTATGTTTCGCAGAAAACCAATATCAAACGCAGTCCAAACGGGATAAAAACAAACGGAGAATTATTTTGGAATATTTGTGATTTTTGGGAGGTGGAATCAACGTGAAACAGTGTCCGAGGTGGCCACGAGACATGGGGCCGAGCCCCAGCGAGGCAGGCGCGCCCTGGGCTCTCGTGGTCCACCCGTAAGGCGGTTGACGTTCTTCTTTTGCCACAAGAAAGATAATTTTACGAGAAAAATCTGGGCGAAAGATTCACCCCAATCGAAGTTAGGATCTCCGGATATAAAAGAAAGGGTGAAGGGGCGGAATCAGAGAACGCAGAAACAGAGAGATAGATCCAATCTCGGAGGGGCTCTCGCCCCTCCCAAGCCATGGGTGTCAAGGACCAGAGGGGGAAACCCTTCTCCCATCTAGGGAGAAGGTCAAGGAAGAAGAAGAAGAAGGGGGGCTCTCTCCCCCTTGCTTCTGGTGGCGCCGGAACGCCACCGGGGGCCATCATCATCATCGCGATCTTCACCAACACCGCCGTCATCTTCACCAACATCTCCATCACCTTCCCCCTTCTATATCCAACGGTCCACACTCCCGCATCCCGTTGTACGCTCTACTTGAACATGGTGCTTTATGCTTCATATTATTTTCCAATGATGTGTTGCCATCCTATGATGTCTGAGTAGATTTGTATTGTCCTATCGGTGATTAATGAATTGCTATGATTGGTTTGAGTTGCATGTTTTATTATTGGTGTTGTCCTATGGTGCCTTCCGTGTCGCACAAGCGTGAGGGATTCCCGTTGTAGGGTTTGCAATATGTTTATGATTTGCTTATGGTGGGTTGCGTGAGTGACTGAAACACAAACCCGAGTAAGTAGGTTGTTTGTGTATGGGATAAAAGGGGACTTGATGCTTAATGCTATGGTTGGGTTTTACCTTAATGAATCTTTAGTAGTTGAGGATGCTTGCTAGAGTTCCAATCATAAGTGCATAGAATTCCAAGTAAGGGATGATATGTTAGCTTATGCCTCTCCCTCAAATAGAATTGCAATAGTGATTACCGGTCTAGTAACATAGGCAATTGCTTAGGGACACTTTCACAACTCCTACCACCACTTTTCCACACTCGCTATATTTACTTTCTTGCATCTTTATCTAAACAGCCCCTAGCTTTTATTTACGTGTTCTTTATTATCTTGCAAACCTATCCTTTCACACTTACAAAGTACTTCTAGTTTCGTACTTGTTCTAGGTATAGCGAACGTCAAGCGTGCGTAGAGTCATATCAGTGGCCGATAGGACTTGAGAGAGTATTTGTTCTAACTTTAGCTCCTCGTTGGGTTTGACACTCTTACTTATCGAAAGAGGCTACAACTATCCCGTATACTTGTGGGTCATCAAGACCTTTTTCTGGCGCCGTTGCCGGGGAGTCATAGCATGGGGTGAATATTCTCGTGTGTGCTTGTTTGCTTTATCACTATGTAATTTTTATTTATTGTTCTTAGTTGTTCTCTATCTTTAGTTATGGATATGGAACGCAAATTACCAAAAAAATTAAAGGTACTTGCTACTCATGTAGACGGGGTAACTCCTAAAACCCCCGACTCTCATTATGTGAGAGATATTAAGTACTACTTTGATAATCCTGAGAAAACCCCATTCAACTTTATAATGGGAGACACGTTGGATCAACGTGAATACTTTAGGGATTATCGCTCGACACAAAAAGGGAAACTATTATGGGATCGATTTATTATGTTGCGTTGGTATGCCTGGAATCTATGCTTGAGATATGATATTATTTGTTGCTCTAGGATGGAGGCTCCACACCTTCCCTTTTCATGCAAATTTAATGATAATGAAACCTTAGATTCTTATGCTAATGGTATATATGATTACTATGATGTGGAACAAATAGAAGAATTTGTTGCTTTTAAGGCTCCTTATGAAATTGAAGCTTTGTTTGAAAAGTATGAAGCTTTTGATGATGATGGTTATAGGCCTGAAAATCTTGCTATGCTTAGATATTGCTATGAAAATTATGAATACAATTACTATATTATTTCTTTTATGAAGAATGTCAAAGCTATCCAAGAAGAGACTAATATTTTGCAGGAAGCTATGGAAGAACAAATTGATGAAACTATGAGCTCATTAGATGAAAAATATGATGAGGAGAGCGAAGAACAAAAGGAGGAAGAGCGGATTAGCTACCCGTGCCCACCTTCTAATGAGAGTAACCCTCCAACTCATACATTATTTAATTCCCCTTCGTGCTTACCGAAGGATGATTGCTATGATGATTGCTATGATCCCTTGAATTTGTTTGAAATATCCCTTTTTGATGATGCTTGCTATGCTTGTGGCCAAGATGCCAATATGAATTATGCTTATGGAGATGAACTTGCTATAGTTCCTTATGTTAAACATGAAATTGTTGCTATTGCACGCATGCATGATAGTCCTATTATCTTTTTGAATTCTCCCGACTACACTATATCGGACAAGTTTGTGCTTAGTAAGGATTATATTGATGGGTTGCCTTTTATCATTGCACATGATGATTTTGATGAATATAATATGCATGTGCTTGGTTCTCCTACTTGCAATTATTATGAGAGAGGAACTATGTCTCCACCTCTCTGTGTTTCCAACACGATAGAATTGCAAGAAACTGCTTATACTATGCATTGGCCTTTACTTGGTGTGCATGAATTGTTCTTTTATGACATGTCGATGCATAGGAAGAGAGTAAGACTTCGTTGTTGCATGATATATGTTACTTTGTGCTCACTACTAAATCACAAATCATTGTTAATTAAAATTGGCTTTGATATACCTTGGGATCCGGGTGGATTCATTACTTGAGCACTATATGCCTAGCTTAATGGCTTTAAAGAAAGCGCTGCCAGGATGACAACCCGGAAGTTTTAGAGAGTCATTTATTTCTGTTGAGTGCTTTCATATTGTTTAGAAACAAAAAAATAAAGAGGGTAACCTAAAAACTTTTCAAAAAGGAAAGTGAAAGTAAGAAAGACAAGCATTGTTGAAGTGGGAGTTAGCCTTGAACTTTGTTCATGCTCACGGAAACTTTGTGAATCTTGATTAGAGAAACTTTTCAACAAAAATCATTATCCCCTTCTACAATTCCATTGTATTATAAAAATAATGTGCCAAGGTTTGCCTTTAGTATGTTTACAATGCTTGTTGGTTTGTACGGTGCAGGACAGAAACTTTGGCTGTAGTGTGCGATTTTACATTTTTATCTGTATCGTCTAACAATTATGATTCCTTTTTCACGGTCTTTCTGTACAACTTCTTTATTTTCCCTAATTTTGGTAGAATTTTTTAGGTACCAGAAGTATCGTGGATGTTCAGATTGCTACAGACTGTTCTGTTTTTGACAGATTCTGTTTTTTGATGCATAGTTTGCTTGTTTTGATGAATCTATCAATTTATATTAGTAGATTAAGCCATGGAAAAGCTATATTACAGTAGACACGATGCAAAAAAATATGAATTGCTTTGCAACAGTACTTAGAGTGGTGATTTGCTTTATTATACTAACGGATCTTACCGAGTTTTCTGTTGAAGTTTTGTGTGGATGTAGTGTCTAAACGAGGATGTCTCGATATGAGGAAAAGGAAGAGAGGAAAGAGCTCAAGCTTGGGGATGCCCGAGGCACCCCAAGTAAATATTCAAGGAGACTCAAGCGTCTAAGCTTGGGGATGCCCCGGAAGGCATCCCCTCTTTCTTCAACAAGTATCGGTATGTTTTCGAATTCGTTTCGTTCATGCATTATGTGCAAGTCTTGGAGCGTCTTTTGCATTTAGTTTTCACTTCTCTTTTATGCACCATGCTGGTATGAGATAGTCCTTGGTTGATTTATAGAATGCTCATTGCACTTCACTTATATATTTTGAGTATGGCTTTATAGAATGCTTCATGTGCTTCACTTATATCATTTGAAGTTTGGATTGCCTGTTTCTCTTCACATAGAAAACCGCCATTTGTAGAATGCTCTTTTGCTTCACTTAGGGCCTGTTCTGATGTCCTCCACTTGTTTAAAACTTCTCTGATTCAGCTTCTAAACTTGGCTTCTCACTTCACCTGGCGCTTGCAATTCGTTCGGCGGCAAAAGAGCTTCTCGAGCGCTCGCAAGTCGCTACAGCAGGGTTTTCAGCCCAGCTTATGGTGGGTTTGCTTATGGTGGGTTGCGTGAGTGACTGAAGCACAAACCCGAGTAAGTAGGTTGTTTGTGTATGGGATAAAAGGGGACTTGATGCTTAATGCTATGGTTGGGTTTTACCTTAATGAATCTTTAGTAGTTGAGGATGCTTGCTAGAGTTCCAATCATAAGTGCATAGAATTCCAAGTAAGGGATGATATGTTAGCTTATGCCTCTCCCTCAACTAGAATTGCAATAGTGATTACCGGTCTATAAACATAGTCAATTGCTTAGGGACACTTTCACAACTCCTACCACCACTTTTCCACACTCGCTATATTTACTTTCTTCCATCTTTATCTAAACAGCCCCTAGCTTTTATTTACGTGTTCTTTATTATCTTGCAAACCTACCCTTTCACACCTATAAAGTACTTCTAGTTTCATACTTGTTCTAGGTAAAGTGAACGTCAAGTGTGCGTAGAGTTGTATCACTGGACGATAGGACTTGAGAGAGTATTTCTTCTACCTTTAGCTCCTCGTTGGGTTCGACACTCTTACTTATCGAAAGAGGCTATAACTATCCCGTATACTTGCGGGTCATCACTCCACCAGCGAACCAGACAAGGCCGACGAGATGATGAGCAGGCTCAGGATGAAGGACGGCGGCTTGTATCCGAGCTTCATCGAAGTTGATGTGGAGTACACCAGCAAAGATGAACTTCCCCAGATGGCAGCAGTCTTGCAGTTGTGTGTCAAGGAACTCTGCTTGGTGTACCACATCACAACGGCCACAACATGGTAACCCATTCCGGTGTTCATTCATCTGTTGTACGAGTACTACTCCTTAAAATTTCATTAAGCTTTTTTCCCAACTAAATGAACTACTATAGTTCGTGAAGTGGATGCAGGAGTACATGTTTATCAAGTTTCATGCATTTCTGAAATTGTGAAATGGATTGTTTCACCAAATTAGCATTGAAACTCATGCACTAGATTAGCATCTCAAAAATGTTTCACCAAATTAATTTCTGAACTTGATATACTAGCATAGATTCTGATCTTGATGCACTAGCATAGTTTATAGAATTGTTGTATTAAAAGATGTTTGGTGAAGTGATATAGGTCCATATCTTGATGCACATGTTTCTCAAATTAATTTCTGAACTTGATATAGAATTGATGATCAAAGATGTATCAAGCACTGGTATAGGTCTTTTATTCAACAAAAAAGAAAACTAAACTTGAAGTAAGCAGCACATATATCATCGACTCTGGTAAATAGGTTCTTGAACTTGGTGAAGCATTTGGTGAAGCACTGAAGATACCAAAAAAGAAAAATAACCTGGTGTAGTTGAATTTAATTACAAGACTTTGTGTACTAGTTTGTGAACTACATTCATCCATGACTTGTACTATATAAGCATCTACCTCATGGATTATCACTTGTAAACAAAAAAGCAGTAGAACTAAATCTTCAAAAAAAACACTAATCTTCAATATGTGTCTCCCCCCCTTGCAGGCCCAAGCGCCTCAAACAGTTCCTGCGGGAGGAGAATTTTTACACATTTGCCAGTTTCAGCATTGAAGGTGACAAGAAGATGATGAACAAGTCTGGTTTGGAGATCAACCCCAACAACTTCATCGACATGCAGTGCAAGTGGAAAGTTCCAACCACAAACAAACACTACGATTCCTTGGTCGATGTTGCAACCAGCGTCATCCACCCGTTCTACAAAGGCATGAAGCAGAACTTCAACAAGGAGGAAGACCACAAACTGTGGGGGACCAGCCCGCTGCCAGACAACCTCATCGAGTCTGCAGCAAAAGATGCATATGCCACGTACAAGTCATGGAAGATAATCGACAACATCGTGACAGGTTGGGATATTGCACAAGAGCAGGAGGCTGCCCCTACCACCACTGCAAGTTTGCAGGATGAAGAGGCATGAAAGTCTGCCTTCGTGTTGCTTGTGCTTCTTCTTGTCCTTAATCTTGTTGTTTCAGATTTGTAGTTTGCTTTTGTTAGGTTGAACCAGCTTCCTTATGTTATGTGTGTCAGGGTTTGAACAAGTTTGCATATGTCCATGAAGTACATCGTTTGCTTATATTGTTCGACAAGTTTGCTAGCTTCCTATTTTGTTTCTCCATCATTTGAATTTGAAGTAGGTTGTGAATGAAACTTGATGGCTACTATGTGCTACTATGCAGCACTAGTCATGGAGCAAACAAATCACACATGGATATTTTCACAAAATAAACAGTGGCAGACTAAGTAAGGACAACAGCAAATAGTAGCCTTGGACCCTCAGTACAGCTTACACATGTACGGTAGTACAACCACACTAAAAATCAGTTTTTAGTTTCAGAAGAACACTAAAAAGACTAAGTTTCAGCCGAGGACATCATTCAGTACTAACAGAATCATTCTAATAGTAGTTAGAATATTACTAAGTACTGCAACAGGAAAAGCAAAGAACCATCAGTATGTATTTCCTAGTCACTAGCATGCTAGGATTGAAAGTACTGGTACACTTGAACACACAGTGCATTCATTCTACAAAAATAAAAAGGAGCGGGAAGTTCAGTTCGCATTCCCTAACACAGTGACACACAAAGAATAACAGTAATAGTAAAATTGAAACATCAGTACAACTTAGTCTATACGACAAGTACTATGATGATACCAAATATTATCTTGAGAAAAACCACAGCCGAGAAAAAAGAAGACCAAAACTAAATCAAAAAGATATCAGTTCAACCAAGGAGAAAAATCACAAGAAATACAACAGAAGCATCATCCCACATTGACCAGCGGCGTACTAGTTTCAAACAACACAAAAAATATATAAATAATCAAACTACTAGCACAATTGAAATCTCAGTACAACTTAGTTTATTCGGTAAGTGCTATGATGATACCAACTAATGCCTTGAGAAAGAAGTAGTTTTGAACTTAATAGGGCTATCTCTTAAACGTAGCTAATTTAAACCAGTGCTTTAACTTTTACAATGAAGTTCAACTACTAAAGTTCAAGAAGTTCAAACAAAAATTTGGCACCAAATTTTAAAAGCCTTACGCTGAATGAGATTACAATTCAGTACTAACAGAACTATATCATAAGTACAAGAAAACGAGGGTACAGAAACTATAAAGGTCCAACTTAGGTTGGAATCAGATAAAAATAAAATAAATCTCACTTTCTCAGCAACAACTTGTAATACACTTGAAAAAAAGTGTTTTAGTTCAACTAGTATATAAGTCTTCAGTACAAAAAATAAAACTTAACCAAAACGAATTCCCGATGAAACATACACAAGTGAAACAGCTATTCAACCACACTATCATCATGGAAAAAAGTTTGTTAAACATTGTGCCACACTTAAACACAACACAAAATATAACGGTTATTACATACTACTTGACAAGACATTCAAACACTACAAATAGAGCCTACAATGCTTTCAAGAGATATGTCACACAACTATCCCATCCACTACGCAAATGATGACCATTTCTTCTATGCACCAGGAGCCAAAGCCTGAACCTCCTTGGGAAGCTCTATCACCATAAGATGGTTATTCCGGTTGAACACAACTCTATACAGATCCTTAGCATTCCAATCAACAATACGAGGCTGCAAAACAATAAAACAAATTATCAAAAACCATGACACATAAAAAAAAGAATACACAATAAGCCAAACACAGAAAGTGAAAAAGCTCATCTAGAACCCACGTCATTATTTTGAATGTTCTCAATGATCTTTTCACCATCATAGGATCCCGCATACTTCAGAGTATAATGGCCACATTCGTTCGGCCCTTGAAGTGGAACCTTGACAAACATTGGTTTCTTCGCAAAAACCTCCCATTTGGGCTGCTTGCTTGCTTATACTGAGCATCACCATACACAGCCTTCATTACCTGGACCAATCTAGAAATCTGTAAAAAAAGAAAACAAACCACACATTTTTAGGTCTCATAAAAGCAGAAACAAAGATGCGGAAAAAATAATCCAGTATAGAAAATAAATGTCACTCACAATCTTCTCGCAGTCTTTACGATAGGTGTTCTTTGAAGGACGATGGTTCTTCGGATAAGGTAAAGAGTCAAGGATGTCGATACTACTCCGGTACCGATTCATGACATATAAGGAAAAGTGGTTCACTTTCCTATCCTTTGGTAAAATCATAGGTTTGAATAGAGGCATCAATATCTAAAAAACAAATTACCAAAAAAGACATATTAAATATTCAAAATAAAAACCAGCGTGACAACAAACAAAATAAAACCAAAAATCAGCTAGTAGAACTCACAAGGTCGGCACTGAGCAAGTCTTCCTTATCTTTAACATAGCTCTTGAAATCTCTCGCTGCACTCTCCACATTAAACTCTTTATCTTCACCACCATAAAACGTACACTCAAGCACAACCTGCAAAAAGAAAAAAAAATATATATATATGCGAGGAAAGGATCAACAAGCAAAGTATTATTAAAACTCATAAAAGAATAGCCAGTCTCGTTTAACAGAAAGAAATGATCTGATTAATTACCGTGATGAAATATGGACTCGGCAATACCCTTTTTCCAGATGCGAAATCAGCATTTCACTCGGGATCTTGCTTCCAATCATCAATGATAAGTCCATTATATCACCCTCCATCATTTGCCCAGGTGAAAAAACTTCCCATATGTGTTTCCCAGTGAAGCTAGTTACGCTTTCATCAGGCTGAGGTATCATTGAGAACACATTCCTGCACCACACACGAGAACAAAAAACAGGGGAAGCAAGATAAGGAATTCATAGCAGTTCAAGTTGTATAAAAAGGAACAGTTCAGGTCCTCTTTATCTAGCAGTTAGAAACAACAGAAGATAAGAATAAGAAGCATAACACTACTGGAATCAGCTACTTTGCCATCTGCCAGCTCTTTGCCGTCAGCTAGCAGACAGCAAAGAAGCTCTTTGCCATCAGCTACCCAAAAGCAGACGGCAAAGAAATGGCAAACGGCAAAGAAGCTCTTTGCCGTCCGCGGGCTCTTTGCCGTCTGCTGGCAGACGGCAAAGAATCTTTGCCACCCCCCGCCTGTTTGGAAAAAACTTAACGGCCCACCTCTTTGCCGTCTGCCAGCAGATGGCAAAGAGGCAAAAGGGCGGATGGCAAAGATAGGCGGACGGCAAAGAGGACAC